GGAGTATATATATATATCTATAAAGATCTTTTATCAAAAGAAATGATCTAAAAATTCAAAAAGGCAAACAAAATTCTGTAATTTTGTTTTTTGCATTTCTTACGAAGTTTTATAATAATAACCAAAAAAAAAAGTGATTTAAGGAAATATATAAATAACATTAATGATGAGATTAAGGAAAGAAGTAAAAGAAATCAATAGCATTGATGATAATAGGAATTAAATATGGTCATTCTTGATATATTTTCTTACTTTTTCTAAAAAAAAATTAGTCTTTAGAAATTAATAAAGAACTCCATAAAATAAAATAAAAATTTGGGCATATTTTATTTTGGAAGAATAATTTTATTTAGGGGGAAATTTCATAAATATTGATAAAATTTAATTAAAAATAATAGAAAATATAAAGAAAAAAAGTGATCTAAGGAAAAAATATAAATAAAATTAATATTGATGAGATTAAGGCAAGGAAGTAAATTAAATTAATAGCATTGATGATGATAGGAATTAAATATTGTCATCTTTGATAATGTTTTCTTACTTTTTTAAAAAAAAATCAGTCTTTTGAAAAAATTTAATAAAAAACTCCAACAAATAAAATTAAGATGTGAGACATAATTTCTTTTGAAAGAATAAATTTATTTCTGAGAAATTATTTTAATAAAAATATAAGTGAAAATATCGAAAATGTTGATAAAATTTAATTAAAAATAAGTATAAAATAAAATAAACTTTAATTAAAGACACAAAAAGAAGACAAAATAAAAGAAGAAAGAAATTAGTAAAATAAAAAAGTAGAAAGAAATAATGTCAGCAATAAATTTTAATTAAGTAAAGATAAATAAAAATATAAACTTTAAGTAAAGACACATAAAAAAATTAAGACAAAATAAAAAAAGAAAGAAATTAGTATTATACTTATTCTTCTCCAAATTTGATACGAATTTCATACATAGATTGGTTTTTTCTCCAAATAATTCTTCTTACCCTTTGAAACACTAATCACTCTTCCAACAAATTTCTCAACCAAAATGATTTTTTTTTATCTCAATAGTCATCTCCTATAAGAGGAATCAACATTCTTCCAAAAGTCTTTTACTTTGAAGAGAAACCTTTTGTTACGTGAAATTTCTCCTGACACTTATATCTTCCGAAGGATCACAAGATACTCCTCCTTTCTCTATTCGTAAAGTAATCACAAGGCTAGAAATTAGTTGGTCATCTCAGCGGCATAATTAACATTCTTTCAAAAAGTCTTTTATTTTGAAGAGAAACTTTTGTTACATGACCTCTCCTTACATCAATATTTTCTGAAAAATCATAAATTCGTTGGACATCTCAGTAAAGAAATTTGATACTCATATATTCATTATCATCAGAAGAAGAAGAGATAAAGTAAAGGAATCCATTGTTGTTGGGTACAAATACTTTAATATTTTTATTTTATTTTATAGGCCAAGTAAATATAAACTGTTACTAAAAATAAAAAGTTTTAATCTTTTCATCTTCCAAATTTTAGTCTTTTCATCTTCCATTTACTTAAATGTGTATTAGTGTGAGGAAAGTTTTAAAGAAACATGATTAATTGGGTAGTGCATTTAAATATTTTCAGTTTTTAAGAATACATATAAATAATAGAAATCAAAGATAAAATATCAAAAAAAGGAGCAAAAAATAAATAGGAATGAAGGCCATAGAGAGGTGCCACATCAGATTGTCTGTATTCAGGTTTATATAAATATAGATTTATAATTATAGTTTTGATATTTATTATTCATAGCAACAATTTTATAGAGGAGAGAGGTGAACAAAAATTTTGAGAGAGTGAGAGAAAATATGCTAGAGAGAGGATGAATGCATGTTGTATAAACAAATATAACAAATGGCCGAAGAAGGTTCAAGTAATGCCGGTGTGAGACCTTCATACAATTATCACTTTGCACAAACTTCATAAGGAAGAGAGTGATACATACAGATTGATACAATTATATCACTAGTATTCATTCATTCTTGTATTACTTGTTTTCATATGTAATACAAAAGATACATAAATATATGTTATATTCAATACATACAAATTGATTTATCAATAATTATTTTCTTAATAGGTGTGTTAAGTCAACATGTGACAAGTAAAAGTGAACGAAGGAAATATTAATATTAAGAATGGTGTGAAAAAAAATATTAAAAATTTCTTAATCTGCTAGAATAAAAGATAAATGAAACATATCTATATTTGATAGATGAGCTAAGTAAAATGAAAGGGTGAGCGTAGATAGCAACTTGCCAAATTAGCAATCCATTTCTACGTTGACTGTTCTAGATAAACTAAGACCTTTCGCATTCAATAATGGAGTGCATTATTATATTAATCCAGCACGCCTCTTTCCACATTTTCCATTCTCCCACAAAATTCAAAGCAAATTCTAAATACTATTAATTTACTATTTGCACAGAGCAACAAAAATCTGATTTGTCATCTGCAAGTTCAGTGTACAAACTACAATATAATTATGTCAAATAACTCACAATTATAGCCCAATTCCAAATTGAATTATTTAGCCATCCTGTTATATCATCACGGGTCACTTGGTGTCGGCCGTTCGACCTATTTCTAGTCCAAAAATGTACATATCATGGAATTCTTGTCTCCCTTGTATTACCTTTTTTTATTCCAAATAAAGTTCAATTTCATTTTATCTCTGTTCATTAAAAAAACTCTTGACATTTTATGCATTTTAACACTTACACTTCCTCGGTTTCATTTTATGAATTTTAGTTTTGATTGAACGTGAGTTAAAAAACGTGATTATGACTTTTGAATTTTATAATTTTAAACTTTAAATATGTGTAATATTACAAAATAATTTCAAATTTCATAGTTTTAAACCTATATCATGTGGAATGTTAATTATTTTTTAAAAACTAATTAAAAACAAATAAATTTCGATCGTTTATTTTTTTCAAAATTAAGAAGTAGAAGTAGTAGTAGTAAGACACGAATGAAAAGAAATGAAATACTCTCCTTTATAATTCCATGTCATGCGAGATCACTTGTCCATATACAAAATTTAAATATGGTGAAAAATTTAGCTTTCAAAGATACTTACAAAACTTATCAGCTCTAGAAAATCTAGCTTACAAAGACACACAAGGGCACCAAGGAAAAGATATAGACAAAAAAGATTTATAACATAGGTCCTTGGGGTTTTGTTTAATTTCTTATTATTATTCAAGTTTTTTGAGAAACTTAAGATAAATCAACAATGTAATTAGTTAAGCTAGTTTAGATATAATGAAATTACTTCCATAAAAAAAGAACACAAGAATAGTAAGTAACATAATGTCAGGAATATAACCTAAAAATAATCCAATTGTTCTCTTTTTTCGGAAGGAGTTGAATTTAGAAAAACTTATTTGACTATGAGATTATAGAATTTATCTTGGAGTTGAGTTTGAAATTTTCATTTTAAATTATTCATAAAAAGTCAAAAACAATTTCAATTTGTATTCATGGCCAAATGCAAATAAATTCAAATTCATTTTTTACTTTAAAAAAAATAATATTTTTTTTAAATTTCACAATGAAATGTGACAAACACCCCACATAATGCCCTTTTGATTTATTCTTTTTTTTCTAAAATTTCACAATAACATCATATTTCCTCTAGTCCATTTAACTGAAAACTGCTGGAATTTTTATAGTTCAAAGGAAGTGAATTTTTTAAATTTAAAAGAATAATTGAGGTTCTTTTTTCATATATTTTTAATGAAAATTTTAATTATTTTATATTTTCTAAAGAATAATTTAAAATAATCAGAAAAATAATAAAAAAAATAACATTTAAATTTGATCTTTAAATATTTTACCTAACAAATTTGTCATATATGGACAAGAGCACATCGATGTTGGCTTTTGGACTCCCTTTTTCATTTTACCCTCCTTTTAACGTTTGATTAATTTATTTTATCTATGTTTTAACATATAACTTTTTTTATCATTTCAATCAAAATTTAGATATAATTTTTTTCATAAAACAACTACCATCAAGAATAAAATAAAATAAAATATTTTAAGATAAATTTTTTTTAACATAAGACGATACATATTTTGAGAACAAGTATGTGAGGTCACATGCGTGAGGATCATAGCTACACGTGTTTCAATTTGTATATGCACTTACTCGGATAAATTTAATCAGAGTTGTTGAAGCAGGTCGCTTCTAAGTACTGGGCCTTCGCCCTTCCCTATAAAAAGGCAATACGTCTCTCCAGTGAGTCATCTCAGCCAACTGGAGTGTATTCTTCTCTCTGTTTTTAGCAAGTACAAAACCCTTTGCTGTAAATCCAAAAAATTCCGATGGCGATGAGTCGTGTAGCTTCTACAGCAGCTCGGGCTATTACTTCACCTTCATCCTTAGTTTTTACCAGAGAACTTCAGGTACTTAATCCATTTCTCCTCAATCAGTTTAGCCACTGTTTGATGTTTTTTGTTTTATATGACCTAGTTTTCGCCCTTGTTGAATGAATTATCGGAAATTGGCATAGATCATCTCCGATTCTTCGAGAATCAAGTGAATGGGAATCGGAACAGAGGAAAGGAAGGGAATTGAACCGTGAAGAGGAAAAAACAAACACACTTTTTTGGTGCTCTACCAATTTGATGCCTTGTCTTTTTTTGTTTTTGTTTTATGGGCTTTTCCCCGTACACTCCACACCAAATAAAATGGCTCGGATATTAGAGGGCTACTAACTTTTCAGTTTTCACTACTGCGTCCTTTCTACGGCTTTCAGTTTTAATTTGCGTGAATATACCTAATTTTTATTAGGGTAGAGTTATATGTTTCAAATTAAATTGTTACCAAGTAAAATGGAAGAATGTTACAAAAATTTAGAGAGGGGAAGGTTATATACCAACAAGGTACTCCTTCATCCTCAGAGAGACGGTGTCCGGCTTGACTCTTCCTGGGTATGGGCGCAGAGTGAATCCAGATATAGTTGGGCTCCAATGTGATACCGAACACCGAGTGGGAAACAAAAAAAGAGGAAGGTTTTATTAATTTGTTATTTCTACTGTTTTTCCTTTAACCGAAAATCTAACCCGGCAGGACCACAACAGTTCTTTTCCGATCATTACTAATGATACTTGCTTACTTGAATTTTCACGTGCGATTTCTGATATTTTTATATGAAGTAGGTGAAGAGTGAAATGTTTCACGGGTCTCAAGGACAATGGCAGCAGTGTTGTCATTTTCTTTGCATCTTCACGTGCTATATTATTACTTTGTTTATACTAGTTCGACTTGGAAAATCTTTTTATCATATTCAGTTGTCTGGGGAATAAATAAGATATTTCTTATTTAAAGAAGTGACAAATTGTACTAACTCATTTACCATGCCTAATTTGTTCATTAAACTAGAGTACATTTATTCTCCATATATTTCAGGAAAATGGCAATCACGATTGCCTATTTTATGTGACGATCATGAATTTTTGTACTATTAATTGTTAGTTTGGACGAAAATGATCAAAGCAAGTATGTTGAATAATGCTTATTTCTTGCCAACTGGTGCATCTACAAGATTATACGAGTTGGATTATAATTTTAGCACATCCAGCTTGCTTATATGACCTTAAAATATTCATGTGTATTCTGTCCACTCACCTTTTATTTCTTCATTATTTTACAGGCTTCCCCTGGCCCCAAAAAGATTGTGGGTGTTTTCTACAAAGCAAATGAATATGCTGAAATGAACCCCAACTTTTTGGGCTGTGCAGAAAATGCCTTGGGGATACGTGAATGGTTAGAATCTAAAGGTCATCAGTACATAGTCACTCCTGACAAAGAAGGACCAGATTGTGGTTAGTTACTGCTAATCTATAATCTCTCATGTTCTATCCATTACTCCACTGAAGCCTATGCATTTCTAAAGATAATCCCTTTACCCTTCATGCTTGTACAACTAAACACATCTGAAAAGGAGTAGTTTTTTCCATTTAAAACATGCATATATGTGCTTAAGTTTTTTAAAAATAAATGGCACACGTGAGGAGAATATAACGGTCATAGCAGGAACATTTATTTAGATAAAGAGCAAAGCGAAGTAAACAATATTTGCTTTGTTAGTGTTGGTCCTTTGCTGCTAGTGAATTATGATCAGGACACTGCGAGGTAGTTCCTTGCAGGAGGGAAAAAAGAGTGTATTTTACCTTGATATACAGGTGTGCATTTGCAAAACGTCTATACTTCAGGACTCAGGTGTTAAGTTGTACTAGTTTGATAAGACTATGGCTAAATTTTGTACTTTAAACAAGGATTTATCAAAGTCGCAGAGGCTTGTTTAGTTGTTGAGTAGAGTGCACACATGGATGCTTTAGTAGTAAAGATTTTCTGATGGATGACATGCTTGGTGTAAATCCTTGCTTATCAGTATCTTTTATCATGAGAAAGAATGGTGCCCTAGTCTGATATACAAACTACTCTGTGTGTTAGTTTTTCACTGCTGAATCCTTTACTATGCTCTATACAAAGAAATTTCTCCTGAGCTAAAGTTTTTGTGTGTCCCCATCTATAATAGTTTTTTTTTTCCATGACTTTCTCTCTGCAGAGCTTGAGAAACACATTCCTGATCTCCATGTGTTGATTTCGACCCCTTTTCATCCTGCCTATGTCACGGCTGAAAGGATCAAGAAGGCAAAAAATCTACAACTACTGCTGACAGCTGGAATTGGATCAGATCATGTTGATCTGAAAGCTGCTGCTGCTGCTGGATTGACAGTAGCAGAGGTCACTGGAAGCAATACTGTCTCAGTTGCGGAAGATGAACTGATGCGAATCTTAATTCTTGTCCGAAATTTCTTGCCTGGACATCATCAGGTTATCAATGGGGAGTGGAATGTTGCTGCAATTGCGCACAGAGCTTATGATTTGGAAGGCAAGACTGTTGGAACTGTTGGTGCAGGACGTATTGGCAGACTTTTACTCCAACGATTGAAGCCATTTAACTGTAATCTACTTTACCATGACCGTCTTAAGATGGATTCTGAGCTAGAGAATCAAATTGGAGCAAAGTTCGAGGAAGATCTCGATAAGATGCTCTCGAAATGTGACATAGTGGTCATCAATACGCCTCTTACAGAGAAAACAAAGTAAGGTTTCTGTTTCTGTAATTACACGTCGTAAACCTATACAGTAAGATTTATTGACAAAGCTTCTTATATTCAAGTTATTTTAACAATGACTTAATTATGAGATGAACTAAGTAAGCTAAAGTGAATATTCATTGAGAATGAAATATGATATTAAGCGAAGGAAAGGAGAGTTTTAGGACTCACTCTTTGGTGTCATCGTAATTTTTTGGTATCACTCTAGATCGTATATACGTAGTTGTATATTTAGATTCCCCTATTCTATTCCCTAAGTTAAGAAATTCTCTTGAGCACCCACCATATACATTTATACATGACTTTGGCTAAGCTCAAAAAGACTATCTCAATGATGGCCCTCCATGGATTCTCCACCTATATAAGCCATGGCTAAAGTTGAAAAATTGCTTGGCCAAGTTGTCTTTCACCTTTGGCATGATGCAAAAAACATTTGATATTCTTTCTGTGTGAACCACTGCTACGAGTAATATGTTCTTAGAGATCATGTTTTCTTTTCCTTCTTCCTTTAATTTTCTATTTCGAGCTTTGTCATCAGTTAGAGGTCATCGGTAGGATGATAGATGTTCTCAGCAACTTGTGTTGCCAGAATAATATGATTGCCAATGGAGTATTTTTAAGATTCTTGGAGATGTAAGAGTTGTTTCTGTCCGTACATCACTCTTCTCATGTCACTAAGGTCATTGATTATTTCCATGTGCTATATCGCAAATTGCTCACAATTTTAACTATGTGATCCAGAGGAATGTTTGACAAGGAAAGAATTGCAAAGTTGAAGAAGGGAGTTCTAATTGTAAACAATGCTCGAGGAGCAATTATGGAAACTCAAGCAGTTGTTGATGCTTGTAACAGCGGTCATATTGCAGGTATTTTAACATAACCTGAACACATCATCCAGAGATGAGCCCTCAGCTTTAATATCAATTGAACACATCATTATATTTTTTTCTTCAATTCTTGCTTATTTCTTTTCTTCAATATATTTTATCAAAATTCGGAAGTAGTTCCATATCTTGTTGAATTGCCGAATCCGTTGAAGAAAGAAATACTTCTAAACCTATATTGAGTGCTTTCTTTTGGTTATTTTCCCCCAAATTTAGGATACAGTGGAGATGTTTGGTACCCACAACCAGCTCCCAAGGACCATCCATGGCGCTACATGCCAAACCAAGCTATGACTCCTCACATTTCTGGGACTACCATTGATGCACAGGTTTGTAAATACTCTGTTTTCTCTAATTTCTTTAGGCTTTGCTTATTCTTTACTTTCACGACATTATAATTGTGAGCAAACTGAGAGAAGCTTGTTACTGGCAATTTTGCAGTTGAGGTATGCAGCTGGAACAAAGGATATGTTGGACAGGTATTTCAAGGGTGAGGATTTCCCTGCTGAAAATTACATTGTCAAGGATGGGGAATTGGCACCTCAGTATCGCTAAATTATTAATGTACACCTTAGAGTTGTGTCTAGATTTCTGTGTCAAATAAACTGGCAAGCTGCGTCTTCAATAAGCTGATAAAATTGGCTACTTATGTTCTTTTAGAACTGTAATGCAGTTTTTCTCCGGTTGGCTGTATCGTAACGTTTGTGATGGAAACATGTCCTCTTCTGTGATGGAGGTTAATGTATGATCCTCCAGTGTCTTTCTTGAGTCTATAACTGAACTTCCTTGCTATGGTAGTTGTACTGGTGTTGTCCTGGACATTTTATGATTAAAAAAAAGATTATCTTCTCTTTGCTAGTATTTGTTGCAGTCGCTATGTTAATCTTGCCAGGGAGAACCTGGGAAAAATATGAATGAATTACAATGGTGTGAAACAAAATTGACATCACAGTATGTTTTGCTTTAAATGTATATTGGGAAGAAAAGACGACTTCCTCAGTTTGGAACTTAAGATTTTTAAATGACCTCTTTCTTCACATACAAGCGAATAAATGTGATGTATGTGCCATTTGACACCCAAGAAAACCTAATCCAAAAATGATCCTGAGTGCATATTGGAGTGGTTCATTTATAGTAAAGCTTTTTTGTCTATAATAAAAACGTCAATCACAAATTGCTACAGGCGCTTTCAACCGTGTATTTTTCTCAGAAGCAACTCCCTACTAGTTCCAAAAAGCAGAGAAACAAAAGGTTCAAGCTTATGATTCTTTTAACGAGTAATAGTTTGAACAGTTGTTCAGCTAACTCTAGTATATAACAGTTAGTAATAGGTAATTCTTGAATACAAATCAGAGCCACTATATCTTTCAATTGCAAGTAGAAAGTGCAGACTGATCACAAAAGAAAGAGAGCAGGGAGCATACACATGCACTGTTTAATTAGTTGGCAGCATTGTGCGAAGAAGATTTGTCATTCATGACATGTGCCTGTGATTTCCTATACCGAATGTTTGTGGGATAATCTTCCTGTTGGTGTTAGTCACCAGTACCTAAAATTTACTTTGAGAATGATAACAAGTTTCATGCCTCACTGATTCAAACTGTTTTGCTTAAGAAATTCAAGGTCTTTCATTTGCAGCTGAACTGCTTCTTTTGATAATTGCTTGGGATCTGTATATTTGATATCTTCAGTTCCATCTGCCACTCTCTTTGCCTTCTCTTTGACAATGATTTCTACCTTTTGCTGCCCAACTGTAGGAAAGACGGCATTAAGCATGGTACTTAGCAGTTTTTCATCTTCTTCTTCAATCAGATCCCTTCCATAGCAACACACATGTATAGCTTCCAGAGCTTTCTCAGCACGAAATTCCATGGGGATTGTAGGTGCAGGAGCTCCCAACTTTGATCGCTTCTGCACGAGTAAAGGAAAATGTTAGCAAAAATGGGCTCACAATCTTAATACATTATTTATGTCTTAACCGTACCGGGTATAACACTGGACCATAAACGAGAGTTCAAATATAAGTGTGATATATGACCATGAAACCGTGCACATTCAGTGCTTGGTGCTAAATCTGATGAAGCCTGCAATGGGAGGGCTGACAGGCTGCTGCAAACATAAATTTACTTGATATACTATTGTAAACAGGGGCGAATTTATGTATTAATTTTGGGTCACCCGAACCCGTGGTCATCTGACTAAACTCGATATATTACTTCTATAATTAATAAAGAATATATTAAATTAAAAATTGTTGAACCCGTTCTCAAAATGGCTGGATGGTTCACTGGTACTACTGCAAGATTTCAACTCACAGGTCGCAGATTCGATCCTAGGTAGCCCCAATTCGCTTCAATTTATTTTTATTAACTAAAAACACATTTTTCATTTATTTATTTTTTAAAAAAAGCTAAATTCTGAAAGTTTAAAAGTCAAAAGACTTCAAAAGTTTCCTTCCCACACTTTTCAAGTTCCAAGTTCCAACAATATTTTTCTTCTCTCTTCAAATTTGTTTTCTATTTTCCACACAAAGAAGAAGCTTCAAGTCTCCAACTTCAAGTCAAGAATTTAGAGAAATCATCATTGTCAAAGTTTAAGGTAATTTTAGTTTATGATTTCTCTTTTTAATAAACAAACTAACAAGATAAATAAATAAATATATATATATATATATGTATATGTATATAACACTTTAATTTTAGGGTTTTCATATAAAAAAAACTTGTCATTACTTATAATAGGAAATCATCAATAGCTAAAGAATTGATTATCTCAAACTTACATATTTTGCGGATGTAACTTGTAAGGAATGTGTTTCATATTATATTATCAATTTTGAAGGGTGTGATTCCTTTTTATTTAATGTGAAAGGGGTGTGATTCCCTTCTTTTTTTTTATGTGAAAGGGGTGTGATTCCTCCTCTTTCTATGAATATGTGATTTCGAATGCAAAAGAGGCATAAGTCCTCTTTTTATTATGAATGTGTGATTTTCTTATTGTTAAATGTGAAAGGGGTGTGATTCCTCTATTTTAGTTAGATTTGCAAGGATTGTGATTCCCTTATTTTGTATTGTGAAAGATATGCGATTCTCTTATTTTATTTTAAATTTGCTAGTTAAATTTGTGACTAAGTTGAATAGCATTGGTGAAGAATTTCGAATGGATGTTTAGTTTGTAAGATAGAGCGGAAGATATTTGAAAATGTAAGTAATGATGCTATTATAGATCGTTTTCAAAATATGAAGTCTCGTCGAGTACAATTGTAAACTGATGATATTTTTTGTGGAATGTAATTTTTATGTATTGCTCGCTTAGTTATTGTTATTATAAATTTTTTGATTTTATCTTTAAAGCAATGGTGCACCCGTTTTCTTAAAATCCTGGATTCGCCTCTGATTGTAAATAAGCTTCTCAATAAGAGTTAGGCAGAGCTATGCTGCTTGAATCGTCCAAGAATTCTGTCCGTGTGTGTTGATACTCTAAAATATATGCAGTTTTGGAGGATTCAAACAACATAGAGGCAGAGTCCTACGTACCACATCAAAAGAATGATGCAGAAACAAAAGTTGAAGCAGGCTTCAAAGACAGTATCTGAGGAAGTATGCTAATAAAATTTTGATAAACATTGAAAGTAAGGTAATATAAATGAAAAGAAGCTAAAAATCGTTGGCAAATGAAATCTTACTAACCTTTCTTGCTTCATTCATCATTGCAATGAAGTTTTGCTCTTCAAATTCAATATCATTTGCTAAACTAAGCCTTGCTACCCCTTCCAAAATTTCCTCAGATTTGAGTAAACCAGCTCCTACAGCAGCTAACCAACAGCACAGTAGCACATACAGAGGATCCCCTGTCTATCAATAAGGCAAAGGAAATCAAGGTCAATAATCGATAGATAAACCAAGGCACGCCACTTGATTACAACAACAACAACAACATGCCCAGTGAGATCCCACTAGGTGGGGTCTGGGGGAGGGTAAATTGTACGCAGACCTTGCCCCTACCTCGTGGAGGTAGAGAGGCTGTTTCCGGGAGACCCTCAGCTCAAGAATAACAAATCTAAGTGACAGAAGAGATATATATAAAACATAACAGCCAATACAAACGATATCGTATAATCAACAAATGAGACAGTAACAACAAGAAAGTAATGCGATGCGTGAAACGCAGTAAACAACATAAGGCTAGGTCTACTCCAAATGCTAACACCCATCCCCTTGCAAGGGAAGACAACACGCTAGCCCTACTAACCTACAACCTTAATACGAGACCTCCACTCCTTCCTATCTAGAGTCATGTCCTCGGTAAAGTGAAGCATAGCCAAGTCATGTCTAATCACCTCCTCCCAATACTTCTTGGGCCTACCTCTACCCCTCCGCGTACCCTCTATCACCATTACCTCGCACCTCCTTACTGGGGCGTCAGTGCTCCGTCTCTTCACATGTCCAAACCATCTCAGTCTCGCTTCCCTCAGCTTGTCCACCACAGAGGCCACTCCCACCTTCTCCCGGATAACCTCATTCCTAATCCTGTCGCTCCTAGTGTGCCCACACATCCATCTCAACATCCTCATCTCCGCAACATGCATTTTATGAACATGTGCGTTCTTAACTGGCCAACACTCCGCTCCATACAACAAGGCCGGTCTAACTACCACTCTGTAAAACTTACCTTTAAGTTTCGGTGGAATTTTCTTATCACACAATACTCCAGAGGCAAGCCTCCATTTCATCCAAGCAGCCCCAATGCGATGTGTGACATCATCGTCGATGTCACCACTCCCTTGGATTACAGCCCCAAGATACTTAAAACTTTCCTTCTTAGGAATGATTTGTGCGGCAAGTCTCACTTCCACATCTGTCTCATCCACCACATCACTGAATTTGCACCCTAAATATTCTGTTTTGGTCCTACTCAACCTGAACCCTTTGCACGCCACTTGATTGCAAGTAAAAATTACCTTGCCACGTCGATCTCGAAATTCATAAAAAGCTCTTGAATCATTAATGGAGCACTTGTTACCGACTCGCCTCCTGAACTCAGCAAAATCAATAAAATCACCACCAACACCACCTTCCTCATTCACAATTCTGGCTATGAGACCAAAAACAGGGAGTGAACCGATGACCTTATTAGCGAAACTGGAAATTGGATTTGTGGTCTCATCCATATAAGCCTTGACGAGCAAGACGGCACCGCCATTGGAGTTGGAAGCTGCTTTATTATTATTCCTTGTGGATGGAAATGTATAGAAACGTCGAAAATAACGAAGAGAGGGAGAGATTGAGTTGCAGTAGATGGAGGAGGAAGAAGAAGGAGAGTGGAGAGAGGAGACAACCACCATAGTGTTACATGTGGTGGACGTTCAATCTTTGTTTTGATATTGCCCCCTTTTGTTTATCTTTTGGGAATCTATCTGGCTATGAGCTTCATTATCTACTCTAAAATAATACTTCCTCTGTCCCAATTTATATGACTCACTTTCCTTTTTAGTCTGTCCCAAAAAGAATGACACATTTCTATTTTAAGTAACAATTTGCCTATGAAATGTCTTTTTTACCCTTAATGAAATGATTTACAACCACACAAATTTCTATCATTCATTTTGGACCACAAGTTTTAAAAGTCTTTCCATTTTTCTTAAAGTTTGTGCCAAATCAAAGTACATCATATAAAATGGGACGGAGGGAGTACTAGTATATAGTTAAAAAAATATTAAAATCATCTACTACTTTTTTTGTAGCCCCTTTAATAAAATTAAATTTATTTAGATACTTGTAGTATATTTGATTAAATTTTCAAAAATACTTAGTTAAAAAATTAAGTTTTTTTTGAGTAATAGTAGAAATACTTATTTTAAAAGCAATTTTTTTCTAATATCTTTTAAAAATTTGGCCAAACACCAATTACTATTTTACTACTGATGAAAAGAGTTTTTATATATATTGGTTAGTCAAACACAAACTATTGTTCTTTAAAGTTTTTTTTTTGAAAAATAATTCTAATAAAAATGCTTTTTAAAATAAGAAAATTTAAAAACGACCAAATATGCTAGTAGTTTTTTTCTTTTTCAAATTAAATTTGTGTTTGACTAATTAATTTCAAATAAACTTTTATTAATATTAGAACAATAATTTGTGTTTGATCAATGTTTTTAAAGTAATTTTAAGGAAAAGCATCAGTTTTAGCTTATAAAAAATAGTTTTGGTGGAAGTATTCCTCTATTTTTTATAAGAAATCTGGATTAAAATCTTTCCTATATAATAATTGAAAATATTTTACCTTCAAAAGTTAATTTTTGTACAACTTATGTGAATTAGTCGAACCCAGGAAGCAAGTCTCAAACACAGTTGTGGAGAAATATTAATTCGGTACTTAAAATTTTCTTTTTGACAAATTAGTCAAATAGACACTTGAAATTAAAGCGAACCAACAAGGGTTGTGGCGGAGTGGTAAGTACTCCTTCATTCTTAATCAACAGGTTTTGAGTTTGAGCCCCTTGGGTACAGAATCGTCTTTGTTAGGGGGCGCTTGAGCTCCAATATGGATACCGGACAACGTTTGGAGAATAAAAAAAGAAAAAAATTAAAGCCATATCTTAAAACCCCATTGTTAGTGGCGAATGTTCACTGACGCACTGCCTCTCTGGCCACAATTCCCTAGCGGACGGCCTGTGTCACTTGCTGCTGCAGCAATAAAATTGAAATAAAGAGACTTTGGCGGCACTACTATATCACTACTCACATTCTCCTTCCCATTTTCGTGCAAATTAAATATACTCTTCCTCCTACTCTACGCCAGCTGCTCTCTCTTTCTCTCTCTTTTCGGCACCTCAAAAGGTATGTAAACGCTTTCGCAATTACTCAACTGTTATCCTTTAAATATGAATGTTAGGTTTATTCATTTTGCAATTTTCCGTTGTTTCTTTTGTGCTGTGTAGAGTGGTGAAGTAGAGAGCCAAGGGTGAGTATGGGAGCTTTTTCAAATGAAGAACTCAGTTTCTCTTCCAATTTCAACTTCGCTTCCTCTCAAGATCTCAGATTCTCTAAGCAAATCCATGACAACGTTCACGGCAACATCTACATTGATCCGGTATGTCGCTGTCTCTCACTCTCTGCCGGCTAGTTTACCTTCTACATTTCTGTACATGTTTGTTTATACCTGCACTTATTCAATTTATAGGTCTTTAGTTTTTCTTTTGTTTTGTTGCTAAAGAGCAATTTCAAATGTGTATGCTATATAGCCAAAAGTGTACTACTATTTTAGAGGAAATTGATAACTGTCAATGAAATAAATGAGAATTCAGAGCTATTTTGAGTTGCATTCATACATTTTTGTTATCCAAAATTTTCTATGGGTAAGTCGTTGCTAAAATTGTACCCGCGTATTAGCCAAATTTGATCACTGTCAAACTGAATAAATGAGTTCAAACCTATTTTGAATATCAATTCATAAGTTTTTGTTATCCACAATTTTCCTAAAAATCTTCAACAAATAAAAAAAAAAGTTATCTAGAACGCTTGTGCCTAAATTTTGATTTTTTTCATTTAATGAAAGATTAGTGACCATGTGACCATAACAATTAACAAGACAAGATGGTTATTTCTACATTCATGATTTATTCGAGAAGCATATCAAGGTCAAAATTCATAAGTTTCTTTTGCTGGTAAGAATGGATCGATCTCAAAAGAAATGAGAGTAACAAAGTGTTTTCTGACACTGTCCTTGGTTAACCTGTGATGCAATCCTCCTTCAGCTTTCAGGCTAAAACATGTATTTTATCCAATAGATCAAGGAGTTGTTATTCACCCGTAATTATTTAATAGTGAGCGAGTGTTTACCAGGCAAGAGAGACACTAGGGTGTGGTGGTTACTGTTTTCTCATTGTGATTTCAGATCTACACTCTTATTTTCACTATTCTTATACATGTTCTTTAACTTCTTATTGAGAGCTTTGTGCAAAAGTACTGGGAGTTTAATCTTTTCTGAACTTTGCAGCTCTACTTGAAGTTCATTGACACAGAACAATTTCAAAGGCAAGTTTCCTTATCATGTACTTCTAGTAGTGTAGTAGTAGTGGTAGATCTCAGTTTATTGCATGCCGACTGTAAATATATGTACTTTGTCGAGTGTATGTTTTCATATTGACTCCAATCTGCCTATGACCTGATGGTCATCTTTTATTTTCTTCTTTTTCGGTTGTATGTTCAACACTTTCTCATGAGAGCTTTACTAGAGTTATTGAACTGTTTTTTTCTTTTGTTTTCCAGGCTTCGTGATCTTAAACAACTAGGTAAGTTACTATCTCTTGTTCCCTATTTGCATACATGGTCGCAAGCTTGTTTATGCTAGAACATCAAATTTAGCTTTGTGACTCGATATGGGATTTGAAGAAATTTTCTCATCTATCATCTATGTGTCCGCTGAAATGCTTGGCATCCCAAATTTTAGTTCTTTCATATTGCAAAATTATTACTAGTATAAATGTGGGATGCCATAAAAGATGTAAGTAACCTGTATTTTATTGTAAGTGATTTTGGTTGCCAAAACTATGATAAAATTGATAACTATCTTTGCCTCTTAAATATGTTCTGAAATTATCTGCAACTTTCAGCTTCACTTTGTGAATAGAGGTGACACTTGAATGTACATAGTCTGTTTCAACTTCAGTGGTATCTAAATTGTGGTTGCATTTCAGACTGTCGTCGGATCCTTGTAAGGTCTTAAGGAAATTGCAAGATATCTTGTTTCTTAGTGTCCTATGAAGACATATCTATATAGGTTATTCAAGTTCTGGATATTCATGTAAATGATGACTTAAGAACTCATAATTAGCTTTTAAAGCCCTGCATGCATATCTGCCATACAAGCCTCTTGCAGAGGCAGAGGCAAGCCCAAGGTTACAAGCCTAGATGCAAGTTGCAAAAAGACTATATGGTCTCCTATTGCTCAATGGGTAAATTTCACCTTCTGTTAAAATGAGATCCATATTATCTGTTCGAGAAGTTTATATTATCCATCTTCCACTCAGTACTTGATGCCGCCATTGGCTTTTACTGTTATGTTCAATGTTGGTGGAAACCTTGTAAATCCAGGAGTTAACAGCCTGGTAGTGACTTGAATTTGTTACTAACATGAGCTCTTGGATTCACTTTAAGGTGTGGCACACATGGTCTATCCAGGAGCAGTGCATTCTAGATTTGAGCATTCCCTTGGAGTGTATTGGCTTGCCAATGAAGCTGTCCATAAGCTTAAAACCCACCAAGTATGAATTTGTTTATACTATTATTTTGGTTTCTCAACTTGATACTACCTGAGGGGTTCTCATGTAATCCTACTGTTCCTTTTACAGGGAATGGAGCTTGGAATTGATCACTTTGATATACAAACAGTGAAACTTGCAGGTAAGTGATATGGAATGCCTTGTGCATGGATTGCTCTTCCTAATGCAGAATAATGAACCCTCCATTCCATTGTGGTTGAATTTCTCAGGTCTTCTACATGATATTGGACATGGACCTTTTAGTCACTTATTTGAACGCGAGTTTCTTCCTCAAGTTCGCAATGGATTGGACTGGTAATACTTTCCTGTGGAATGAATTCTGTTATTTAGATACCTCTCAAAGATATCTGTCACATTCTCATGCTATTCAATTTTTCTTGGCTAATAAGAATTGAATTTTTGACATTTCCAATTCCCTGCAACATACTCAATCTTAGCTGACGCTTCTACTTTTAGTAAGGGCTTGAAGTGATCAAATAAGGAAGAAATGGATTTTACTTTTTTAGAGAGGGAATGCTTTCATATTGCCTTCTTGGATGCAAGTCTTTAGGAAAGCTCTAGTTTTGCCCTTTTAACTTCAATAAATCAATATGTCTCCATCCCAATCTAGTTAGACAGTTTTATCACTTAATCATAGGAAATAAAGTTATGCTTATAGCATAATTATGTGGTAGAAATCCTAAAGTTGTAATTAATCATGGTGGAGGACCTTGGCATATGATGATTTTGTTTAGTTGTTTCCAACTGTTTGTGTCTGCTCTTGCCTGCAGCTTGTAGTGTTGATATTGAGAAAATATTTCTTAGTTAACTTTCTTAATATTTTTGTTGTTCAAGTTTCTTTGAAGCTTCTTGCACTCATAATGAGGTGATGTCATTATTATGGTGTAGTGCATATTAATGACCTTGTTTTATGTTTTATTTTAGGTCTCATGAGCAAATGTCTGTGGATATGATTGATCACATTGTTGATGAGCGTCGTATTGATATTGATTCAGGAACTATTAAAAAGGTCAAGGTAAGATGAATTATTTTGATTTATGCTAGCTGATATCATACAAGATGAGAATGTTAATTTGCTTATAACATGTAGTATTGACAGTTTCAAAAAAAAATATTTCCCTCTGTTTCAACTTGATTGTCCTGTTTTGACTTGGCACGAAATTTAAGAAAATAAAGAAAACTTTTGAATCTCGCGGTCTTAAATTAAAGATATGTAGAATGTACCAAAATTGTCTTTTAAACTTGTGGTCTTAAACATGCCATGTAAAAAGTTAGAATTAAAGAGTTGACAAAAAAAAGGAAAGAGGCATTCTTTTTTAAACGGACTAAAACGGAAAGTAGGACAAACAAACTGAAATGGAGGGAGTATGAAGTATTTGTGCAAAGTTGTATTGTCTCCAAAAGCAATTTGAATTTGAGGTGCTACTCAAGTATGGTAGACATGTGGACACGCCACTTGATTGCAAGTAAAAATTACCTTGCCACGTCGATCTCGAAATTCATAAAAAGCTCTTGAATCATTAATGGAGCACTTGTTACCGACTCGCCTCCTGAACTCAGCAAAATCAATAAAATCACCACCAACACCACCTTCCTCATTCACAATTCTGGCTATGAGACCAAAAACAGGGAGTGAACCGATGACCTTATTAGCGAAACTGGAAATTGGATTTGTGGTCTCATCCATATAAGCCTTGACGAGCAAGACGGCACCGCCATTGGAGTTGGAAGCTGCTTTATTATTATTCCTTGTGGATGGAAATGTATAGAAACGTCGAAAATAACGAAGAGAGGGAGAGATTGAGTTGCAGTAGATGGAGGAGGAAGAAGAAGGAGAGTGGAGAGAGGAGACAACCACCATAGTGTTACATGTGGTGGACGTTCAATCTTTGTTTTGATATTGCCCCCTTTTGTTTATCTTTTGGGAATCTATCTGGCTATGAGCTTCATTATCTACTCTAAAATAATACTTCCTCTGTCCCAATTTATATGACTCACTTTCCTTTTTAGTCTGTCCCAAAAAGAATGACACATTTCTATTTTAAGTAACAATTTGCCTATGAAATGTCTTTTTTACCCTTAATGAAATGATTTACAACCACACAAATTTCTATCATTCATTTTGGACCACAAGTTTTAAAAGTCTTTCCATTTTTCTTAAAGTTTGTGCCAAATCAAAGTACATCATATAAAATGGGACGGAGGGAGTTCTAGTATATAGTTAAAAAAATATTAAAATCATCTACTACTTTTTTTGTAGCCCCTTTAATAAAATTAAATTTATTTAGATACTTGTAGTATATTTGATTAAATTTTCAAAAATACTTAGTTAAAAAATTAAGTTTTTTTTGAGTAATAGTAGAAATACTTATTTTAAAAGCAATTTTTTTCTAATATCTTTTAAAAATTTGGCCAAACACCAATTACTATTTTACTACTGATGAAAAGAGTTTTTATATATATTGGTTAGTCAAACACAAACTATTGTTCTTTAAAGTTTTTTTTTTGAAAAATAATTCTAATAAAAATGCTTTTTAAAATAAGAAAATTTAAAAACGACCAAATATGCTAGTAGTTTTTTTCTTTTTCAAATTAAATTTGTGTTTGACTAATTAATTTCAAATAAACTTTTATTAATATTAGAACAATAATTTGTGTTTGATCAATGTTTTTAAAGTAATTTTAAGGAAAAGCATCAGTTTTAGCTTATAAAAAATAGTTTTGGTGGAAGTATTCCTCTATTTTTTATAAGAAATCTGGATTAAAATCTTTCCTATATAATAATTGAAAATATTTTACCTTCAAAAGTTAATTTTTGTACAACTTATGTGAATTAGTCGAACCCAGGAAGCAAGTCTCAAACACAGTTGTGGAGAAATATTAATTCGGTACTTAAAATTTTCTTTTTGACAAATTAGTCAAATAGACACTTGAAATTAAAGCGAACCAACAAGGGTTGTGGCGGAGTGGTAAGTACTCCTTCATTCTTAATCAACAGGTTTTGAGTTTGAGCCCCTTGGGTACAGAATCGTCTTTGTTAGGGGGCGCTTGAGCTCCAATATGGATACCGGACAACGTTTGGAGAATAAAAAAAGAAAAAAATTAAAGCCATATCTTAAAACCCCATTGTTAGTGGCGAATGTTCACTGACGCACTGCCTCTCTGGCCACAATTCCCTAGCGGACGGCCTGTGTCACTTGCTGCTGCAGCAATAAAATTGAAATAAAGAGACTTTGGCGGCACTACTATATCACTACTCACATTCTCCTTCCCATTTTCGTGCAAATTAAATATACTCTTCCTCCTACTCTACGCCAGCTGCTCTCTCTTTCTCTCTCTTTTCGGCACCTCAAAAGGTATGTAAACGCTTTCGCAATTACTCAACTGTTATCCTTTAAATATGAATGTTAGGTTTATTCATTTTGCAATTTTCCGTTGTTTCTTTTGTGCTGTGTAGAGTGGTGAAGTAGAGAGCCAAGGGTGAGTATGGGAGCTTTTTCAAATGAAGAACTCAGTTTCTCTTCCAATTTCAACTTCGCTTCCTCTCAAGATCTCAGATTCTCTAAGCAAATCCATGACAACGTTCACGGCAACATCTACATTGATCCGGTATGTCGCTGTCTCTCACTCTCTGCCGGCTAGTTTACCTTCTACATTTCTGTACATGTTTGTTTATACCTGCACTTATTCAATTTATAGGTCTTTAGTTTTTCTTTTGTTTTGTTGCTAAAGAGCAATTTCAAATGTGTATGCTATATAGCCAAAAGTGTACTACTATTTTAGAGGAAATTGATAACTGTCAATGAAATAAATGAGAATTCAGAGCTATTTTGAGTTGCATTCATACATTTTTGTTATCCAAAATTTTCTATGGGTAAGTCGTTGCTAAAATTGTACCCGCGTATTAGCCAAATTTGATCACTGTCAAACTGAATAAATGAGTTCAAACCTATTTTGAATATCAATTCATAAGTTTTTGTTATCCACAATTTTCCTAAAAATCTTCAACAAATAAAAAAAAAAGTTATCTAGAACGCTTGTGCCTAAATTTTGATTTTTTTCATTTAATGAAAGATTAGTGACCATGTGACCATAACAATTAACAAGACAAGATGGTTATTTCTACATTCATGATTTATTCGAGAAGCATATCAAGGTCAAAATTCATAAGTTTCTTTTGCTGGTAAGAATGGATCGATCTCAAAAGAAATGAGAGTAACAAAGTGTTTTCTGACACTGTCCTTGGTTAACCTGTGATGCAATCCTCCTTCAGCTTTCAGGCTAAAACATGTATTTTATCCAATAGATCAAGGAGTTGTTATTCACCCGTAATTATTTAATAGTGAGCGAGTGTTTACCAGGCAAGAGAGACACTAGGGTGTGGTGGTTACTGTTTTCTCATTGTGATTTCAGATCTACACTCTTATTTTCACTATTCTTATACATGTTCTTTAACTTCTTATTGAGAGCTTTGTGCAAAAGTACTGGGAGTTTAATCTTTTCTGAACTTTGCAGCTCTACTTGAAGTTCATTGACACAGAACAATTTCAAAGGCAAGTTTCCTTATCATGTACTTCTAGTAGTGTAGTAGTAGTGGTAGATCTCAGTTTATTGCATGCCGACTGTAAATATATGTACTTTGTCGAGTGTATGTTTTCATATTGACTCCAATCTGCCTATGACCTGATGGTCATCTTTTATTTTCTTCTTTTTCGGTTGTATGTTCAACACTTTCTCATGAGAGCTTTACTAGAGTTATTGAACTGTTTTTTTCTTTTGTTTTCCAGGCTTCGTGATCTTAAACAACTAGGTAAGTTACTATCTCTTGTTCCCTATTTGCATACATGGTCGCAAGCTTGTTTATGCTAGAACATCAAATTTAGCTTTGTGACTCGATATGGGATTTGAAGAAATTTTCTCATCTATCATCTATGTGTCCGCTGAAATGCTTGGCATCCCAAATTTTAGTTCTTTCATATTGCAAAATTATTACTAGTATAAATGTGGGATGCCATAAAAGATGTAAGTAACCTGTATTTTATTGTAAGTGATTTTGGTTGCCAAAACTATGATAAAATTGATAACTATCTTTGCCTCTTAAATATGTTCTGAAATTATCTGCAACTTTCAGCTTCACTTTGTGAATAGAGGTGACACTTGAATGTACATAGTCTGTTTCAACTTCAGTGGTATCTAAATTGTGGTTGCATTTCAGACTGTCGTCGGATCCTTGTAAGGTCTTAAGGAAATTGCAAGATATCTTGTTTCTTAGTGTCCTATGAAGACATATCTATATAGGTTATTCAAGTTCTGGATATTCATGTAAATGATGACTTAAGAACTCATAATTAGCTTTTAAAGCCCTGCATGCATATCTGCCATACAAGCCTCTTGCAGAGGCAGAGGCAAGCCCAAGGTTACAAGCCTAGATGCAAGTTGCAAAAAGACTATATGGTCTCCTATTGCTCAATGGGTAAATTTCACCTTCTGTTAAAATGAGATCCATATTATCTGTTCGAGAAGTTTATATTATCCATCTTCCACTCAGTACTTGATGCCGCCATTGGCTTTTACTGTTATGTTCAATGTTGGTGGAAACCTTGTAAATCCAGGAGTTAACAGCCTGGTAGTGACTTGAATTTGTTACTAACATGAGCTCTTGGATTCACTTTAAGGTGTGGCACACATGGTCTATCCAGGAGCAGTGCATTCTAGATTTGAGCATTCCCTTGGAGTGTATTGGCTTGCCAATGAAGCTGTCCATAAGCTTAAAACCCACCAAGTATGAATTTGTTTATACTATTATTTTGGTTTCTCAACTTGATACTACCTGAGGGGTTCTCATGTAATCCTACTGTTCCTTTTACAGGGAATGGAGCTTGGAATTGATCACTTTGATATACAAACAGTGAAACTTGCAGGTAAGTGATATGGAATGCCTTGTGCATGGATTGCTCTTCCTAATGCAGAATAATGAACCCTCCATTCCATTGTGGTTGAATTTCTCAGGTCTTCTACATGATATTGGACATGGACCTTTTAGTCACTTATTTGAACGCGAGTTTCTTCCTCAAGTTCGCAATGGATTGGACTGGTAATACTTTCCTGTGGAATGAATTCTGTTATTTAGATACCTCTCAAAGATATCTGTCACATTCTCATGCTATTCAATTTTTCTTGGCTAATAAGAATTGAATTTTTGACATTTCCAATTCCCTGCAACATACTCAATCTTAGCTGACGCTTCTACTTTTAGTAAGGGCTTGAAGTGATCAAATAAGGAAGAAATGGATTTTACTTTTTTAGAGAGGGAATGCTTTCATATTGCCTTCTTGGATGCAAGTCTTTAGGAAAGCTCTAGTTTTGCCCTTTTAACTTCAATAAATCAATATGTCTCCATCCCAATCTAGTTAGACAGTTTTATCACTTAATCATAGGAAATAAAGTTATGCTTATAGCATAATTATGTGGTAGAAATCCTAAAGTTGTAATTAATCATGGTGGAGGACCTTGGCATATGATGATTTTGTTTAGTTGTTTCCAACTGTTTGTGTCTGCTCTTGCCTGCAGCTTGTAGTGTTGATATTGAGAAAATATTTCTTAGTTAACTTTCTTAATATTTTTGTTGTTCAAGTTTCTTTGAAGCTTCTTGCACTCATAATGAGGTGATGTCATTATTATGGTGTAGTGCATATTAATGACCTTGTTTTATGTTTTATTTTAGGTCTCATGAGCAAATGTCTGTGGATATGATTGATCACATTGTTGATGAGCGTCGTATTGATATTGATTCAGGAACTATTAAAAAGGTCAAGGTAAGATGAATTATTTTGATTTATGCTAGCTGATATCATACAAGAT